CAGAGACCAGAGCGGGGGCATAGTCAAGGCCGCGGGTAGAGGCAAAGTCAGTGACAGCCGCGAGAAGAGCCGACAGACTAGCGACAGGAATGAACGGGTTGGTAACAAGAGAGGCAAGGACTCAAGGGACAAGGGGACGCGCAGCACGAAGAAAGTCAGATAAGGGAGGCGGGGCGACAGCAAGCGAATACGAAGGAGGCAGCGGAAGGAGCGGATGAGCACAAGACGCGTGGGAACGAAGCAATATGGGGTGAGAGCGCTGAACAGGAGCGACAGGATAAGCACGAGGAGGACGGCGGGACTAGACGTGAGAGGGAGGTGTTGGGTCAGGAGAGAGAGGAGGAGACACAAGGGGGGAACGAGGTGGTAAACAAGCAGGAGTTGAGTACGGCGGAGGAAACACAGGGTCGTAGACCGGCAGGGGAGGAGGAGGAACAACCTGGCGGTCGGGGGAGGGAAGACCAAGGAGGCAAAGGGCAGACATCGGCGGCGATTGCTGCTCCGGCTGCGGCGGCCACTGCCACGACAGAGGCCTCCAGAATGCTCCACGACAGCACCCCCCAGAACCAGAACTAGTGCCAGCACCCTCTCAAGCACTTGTGCCACCCCCAGGACCATCGGGACAAGCCACAAAAGTAACCCTTGAACTAGCACCCTCTCCAGCAACCTCCTCAACGCCCGCACCCTCAGAGCGCATGGAACCCAACGCAGCGACGGCGGCGGCGGCTGCAGCTGCAGCTGCTGTGACAGCGGCGAAGGCGGCTACTGCGGCGGCGAGGAAGGAGACACTGGGGCATAGACATGCAGCAAACTCGGAGCCGCAGGGCCATCAGAGTGGGCCGATTCCTCCAACGAGACGACAGACGGAAGGGGAGTGACGTGAGACACACCAGACGGGGCAGGACGGGGAGGGGGAGGAGCAGGGGCTAATGGGGGAGCGGGGACCAGGAACAGGAGCGGGGTAACCGGGAGACCTCGGTAGGGAAAGTGGTCTAACTCAAAAACAGACACACCGTGGCGCTCCAGACTCTGTTAGGCAGGAAGGTCCAGCGCCGGGCCGAAGCGGCTACAAAAGAGGTCATCGAGGCGGAAAACACGTCAGCGGGTGGTTCTGGCAACCCCCAGCATCAGAGCTGCCCCCGGACGCCAGGCTGCACGGGCCGCCAACGCGGCCACCACCACCAGAGGCACCGGGCCATCCCGGTGGGAGGCAGCCCCAGGACTGCTGCTGCGGTTGCTACTGCTGTTGAGGCTGCTGCTGCTGCTACTACTCCGGGGCACCAGCCCCGGTCCCCTCATTGGAACTACTGTCTCCGACCCCACCTCCACCACCCCCACCACCCCCACCACCCCTACCTCCACCACACCCCCCCTTGGGGCGGTGGCCCGGACGCTGGTGCGACTGCGCGGAGACCGCAGCAGCAATCTCAGCGGCAAGGGCTGTCTCGGCGATAGCAGCAAACACGTCAGTGTAAGTGCACTAGGAGGGCACGCATCCCTGGAAGATAGAGACAGCCGCAGTACCACTTGACTGAGCGATAGTGCGTTGGCGAGTCTCTATCTCGAACAGGGCGCCAACAAAGGCAGTAAGGGTGAGGTCACCAGGGTGTTGACTAAGGAAGTGGTCGCGGGCAGTGGCTAAGCGGTCTTAAAGGTGCGTTGCAATAAGGTACAGGGTAGCACAGAGCAACGGGGGGAAGGCAGTGAGTTGGGCCTCGGTGCTGGCGGCGCGGTAGCTAGCCTTTAGTGCACGGAGGTGAGTGGCAAGGTCGGCAACAGTGAGGAAGGCGGCGAAGTCAGGAAACAGCATGGGGAGGATCAGGTGGCTAGCAGAGGCAGAGGCGGGCCTGGAGTAGCGCGAAACAACGACATCTAAGAACTCCTTGGCGTTCGCGACAGCAGTAAAGCACGGATGCATGACTAATGGCTAGTTGTGCTACTGTGTCGCACGACTCCCAGACAGCATGAGCAAGCGCAGCAGCAGAAAAGGCCTCACACTGAGAAGGGGTGGGGTCAGTAGGGAGGGGCGGGGAAGCAAGCAATCGACATGCACAGCCAGGGAGTGACCATCTTGACGCTGACGTGTCGACAAGCTAGGCGTCAAAGTTGATCGCGGGCCCCTCCGCTTCCAGGTGGAGCACAGAGTCCGCCATCGCACGACCTTAGCAACACGGTGGAACAGCGGCTCAGCGGTGCAGCTCGGCGGCACAGCGACACCACGGAGGCATAGCGACACCACGGAGGCACAGCGACATGGCGGTATAGCGGCACGACGGCACAGCGACAGCACGGCTCCATGGCTACACGGCGGCTCGGCGGTGGCACGGCGGCAGCACGGCGGCACGGCGGCAGTGCGGCGGCACGGCTGCGGCATGGCGGGGATGGAAGGAACGAGGGCAGGCTTGGGGCGCAAGGGCACACGGGGCCTAAGAGGCGCGAAAGGGGGGGGGGGACAGAGCGTCGCTAGCGGGGCCAGCAGACCGCTAATTGTTGGCTGGGGCGCGGAACAGCCAGCAGGGCACTAGGGGCCAGCGGGGCGTGAAAGAGGGGCTGGGGAGGCGCAAAGGGCCAGCGGGGCGCGAAAAGGGCTGGGGGCGTGTGAGGAGGCCAGCGGGCGCGGAGGGCCAGCGGGGCGCGAAGAGCCAGCAGGGCGCGAAGGGCCAGCGGGGCACGAACGGGGCGGGCGGTGCGTGAGAAGGCCAGCGGGCGCGAAAGGCCAGCGGGGTGAGAAAGGGGCTGGCGGCAGGTGAGGAGGCCAGCGGGGCGCGAAACGGGGGGGGGAGCTGGCGGGGCGCGATGGGTCAGTGGGGCGCGAAAGGGCTGGCGGCGCGAAGGGCCAGCGGGGCGCGAAAGGGGGCTGGCGGAGCGAGAAGGGGCAGTGGGGCGCGAGAGGGGCTGGCGGCGCTAAACGCCAGAGGGGCGCGAAAGCGGGCTGGTGGGGTGCAAGGGGCCAGCGAGGCGCTACCGGCCAGCGAGGCACGAAGGGCCAGCGGGGCGCGAAGGGCCAAAGGGGCGCGAAGGGCCAGCGGGGCGCGAAAGGGGCTGAGGGCGCGTGAGGAGGCCAGCGGGCGCTGACGGCCAGAAGGGCACAAAGAGTCAGCGGGGCTCGAAGGGCCAGCGGGGCGCGAACGGAGCGGGCGGCGCGTGAGGAGGCCGGCTGGCGCGTTAGGGCCAGCGGGGCGCGAAGGGCCAGTGGGGCGCTAAGGTTAGGGCTATGGCGGAAGCTGGTGGGTGGACCTACAGTAACCTAAGCTGATACCATCTTAGAGTAACGGAATGACTAGCAAAAGGGGTACAGTGTGGTTTTGACCTAATGAGCTGTACTCTCTAAGGCATGCCCCTATCTAGGTTATAGTAACATATACAAATATGTTTAACAGTGTTTGACATTCCGTCAGCTTCGGAACACACTCCCACAAACTCGGAAGACACTCAATTTGCCCCACGACACTATGACACCAACGGACGACCCGACGTAGGAATTCGCCCCTAGTGAGCGCATCTCACCAAACCCTAGGTTCTTTTCTCGCCAATTTATCCCCTAATATTTTTCATCTGCCCCGGGGCAGGAGGTTTTTGTTGCGCAATTTTGAAATTCGCTCCTCTCTCCTTTCGCGTACAGTTTCCGCAATTTGGTCGCGTGGCTTTCGAGCGAGGCTCGAAAAGTGCACCTAGTTTGGGTGGTAACCAATGCTCGTGAAATCGCTTGAGGAGATTCCTCAATGTGGACGTCGACATCGACGTCAAATGCCTGCAAGACCCAGCCTTTGAGGGCTAAGCTAGACTGCGTATCAAGCAGGTGGTACGGCCCACCTGTACCGTGGAAGCAGATACTGCCCGGGTGTCAGGTGAGTTGGTAATTGGCGCCAATATTCCCCGCTTTCTAAAACCGGTAAAACTCGCGTCTACAAATCAACTTCATCATCGCATTAATTGACAGTCCAAAAGCCGCGAAACAAAACGATCCAATTAGCATGCCCCACGACGTTTATTTGCGACTAGCGAATTGTAAATAAATCTGGTCGTGCAGCGTGGCAGTCGCATTTTTTTGCGCACGACCTCACTAGTGCCATCTGGCGACACTTTCAAAGGTCCTGGCGTCAATGGTCACGCAGTCGCCATTAAGTCGACATGTCCCACGGGTCAGCTCGACAAACCTATACCAGCTGCCTGACACGCGGTCTAACTTTGCCCTGAGTCTTTGTCTTACTTGGGCCACATGCTAAAACTCAGTAGGGCCCTACCTACCACCTGCCCTTCCTGGGTTCAGACTTTTTGTTAAACATAGCTAGGCAGCCAGGTAGGTAGAGGAGCCATGGAAGTGGCGAGAGGTTTTAAGCTAGAAGGCAAAATATCAAGAGAGAAGAGAAGATTGGAATAGAAGAGAAGGAGATACAAGAAGGGGGGTAGTACCAAGCCTACAATTGTATATATAAATATATAATTTAACGCACCTCCTAGGCTTGGTAGTGGCAAGCCCATCCCACCCCTAGCACCCCCACATCCTTGCACCCCCATTCCCTGTAGCAATAGTGGCGTCGACCAGCCGGTCGACCGCTCGGCAGTCGAGGTGGCGACGTCGACGGCGGGTCGCAACGGCGACAACGGCGTCGGCGATTGCGGTGGCGGCGGCGTCGAGGCACCTGGCGACGCCGGCGTGCTCAACCTGCGACGATGAGGGCGAGGACGGCAAGAGGTCGCCAGCAGCTGCGGCAGAGTGGAAGGGAAAGGCAGAGGAGGGGAAGGGGGAAGGGGTGGGGGGCGGATCTTCACCGCGGTGCCATTGCTTACTGGCGTGCGGGCGAGCTGGACGCGGCTAACACGATGCGCGGCCCGCTGCCGCTCGTGCGCTGGCGCCTCATCGCCACCGCGACAGCACGACGACTCCGCCACGGCTTGACGTCGACGCCACGACAACGCGACGAGGCTGCCACGACAGCGCGTCGAGACGGCCGCGGCAGCACGACGCGGCCGGCGGCACGACGACGCCGCCACAGCAGCACGACGCGGTTGCCATGGCAGCGAGAGAGAGAGAGAGAGAGAGAGAGAGCGAGAGAGAGAGAGAGAGAGAGAGAGAGAGAGAGAGAGAGAGAGAGAGAGAGAGAGAGAGAGAGAGAGAGAGAGAAAGAGAGAGAGAGAGAGAGAGAGAGAGAGAGAGAGAGAGAGAGAGAGAGAGAGAGAGAGAGAGAGAGAGAGGGAGGGAGAGGAGGAGTGCGCGGCGAAAGCAAGAGAAGGTCCAGCAGGTTGAACCTGTTATGATACCATATCATAAAGACACCAGTCCTAACCACTTGGATAAGAAGGGATATCATCAGGAGGGTTAGGCTCCATATATCCACCTTCCCCAGGAAAAGCCTTCCCAGTACCCTCCCTAGCAGGGCTCTCCCTAGACTTTTTGGGGTTTCTGACGATCAGACGGGCCCTTCGGGACCCGATTGATCTTCAGATGGCCGTTTCAGCTTTGTCTGATGGATCAGAAAAATGTAATGTGAATTTCTATTAAAATAGACAAAATATTTTGGGGAGTCTATTAGGTAGTACACTAGAAAGGAGGAAGCAGCAGTAGTCCATTAATAATTTCAATCTACTATGTGTCACTACTATCTACCACAATCGAAGTCCGCACATCTACACGGAGCTGCTCATCCCTACGCTGCTTCTTCGACTTCTTCTTCATCTTGACCCTAAACGGCACTGCCTCTTCGGCGTTCTCTCCTAGCTCTGCTGCTGCGGCTTTTGCTGCTGCTGCCGCTGCTGCTTCTGCTGCTGTCGCCGCCGCCGCTGCTGCTGCTGCCTTCTTGCGGCGCTTAAGGGAAGGGAGGGGCATGCTGACTTCTCTAGCCAGGCGTCGTTTCTTCGACCTCTGCCACATCTCCAGGACATCATCCAGAATGACATCGTACTGTAGAAGGGACACGCACATGAGATCCGAGAGGCGGGCATCACACAGGTTACCGCGAAGCCAGGACTTGATAGCATTTTGGCCGCTGAAGCCACGCTCACACTCAACGGTGCTGAGTGGGAGAACGGCAACAGCCACCCAGATCCTGATTAGGTTGGGGTAGGTAGCTAGCCGGTCTGGCTAGCGCCAGACGTTCTTGAGACAGTTGAGAAACGAGTGATCCTTGTAGTGGCTGAACATCATGCGTGAGAAGGGCTTCACTTCACGCTCGGCCGCAGCCCAGTCGACGCCTGGGGCAGGGTTTATGCAGCTGTGTAAAAGTAACAAGGCATTAGCATTGCAGTCGGTCCTAGAGTGCATAACACATGCATTTAGTTGTGCAAAGTAGCCAAACCCAAACACACTCACCTGGCATGTTACACGACTCAGCGTTGAAGAGTTGCTTCAGCGATGCGAACCATTCGGCGCAGAGACGATCGAGCCGGGCGTAGTTGTCGGGATAGGCGTCGGCGAAGAAGAGCTTGGCACTGCGGAGTGTGCTGACGCTCGCCATGCGGGTCTCCAGGTTGGTGATAACTTCCTGTGCAAACAAGGAGGCAAGGTCAATGCAGGACTCGAGATCTCTGAGGCTGACTTGATCCTTCAGCTGCTTCTCGTGAAGGTGGAAGGTGTGCGTTGCAGGGTTGCCCTCGGAGTCCAAGCCATCCACTGTGACGACCCGCTTGCTGGTACGTCGAGGAACCCAGTCACCTTCATGCTCCCCTCGCCGAAGCACACCCCCTAGTCAATGTAGCGCGCTCGCAGCACGTTGCATGTGTTCTCAACGATGGTGCCGAACTTCGTGACATCGACCTGAGACAATCGTTATAGGGTGTGGGAGTTAAAGACCAACACATTGTAGTAATAAATGCTTGCGAGGTCGAGTGCTTACCGCACGGCGCTGGAACTTGCGATTCCGATCGTCGAGAACGGTTAGCAGGTCAGCGAAAAAAAAAAAAAAACAAGAAATGGAACTTAAAACTCGTTACCACCTCATACATCTTCGTGTCGAACTCTCGCCGTAGCAAGATAGCCGCATGGAGCACATCACAGAGTCACAGAGTCTCCTCACCACGGGAAAGCCAGCGTATATCCTTGATGCCCTGCATCTCGAGCTGCGTCTGGTAGATGTAGTTCTGAAGCTCAAAGAAGCAGGAATGGACGGCGATGATGCGCCCTAGAATGTCTGCGAGGGAGCGCACCATCTTGTCGACCACTCCCAGGTCAGGGTTGCTGTTGGCAGCATCCTTGGCTGCCAACGCTTCTCTACACAGCAAAGCAAGGATGCGGCAGTCAGTGTTTTACTCGTAAAGAATAGATCATGCAAGCACACGCAAATAAACATGTCACCTATGCACAATGCAATGGCAGGACACGAGGTGAGGAACACGCTCGCACAGCTGCACAACGAGACTGCGTGATGCTCCCGTCATCACCGAAGCCCCGTTGGTCGAGATGCCGGAGATCCTCTGCAGGTCGATTCCGGTTGCGTCGAGGTCAGTCAGCTGTGTTGAGAGCAGTGATGCAGCGTCACACCTCTCGACGATCAGATGCGCGTAGAATTCGGTGACGACGCGGCCGCTCTTGAGGAAGGTCAAGTAGACTATCATGTGCTTCCCGCGCCGCCGATCGGTGCTCTCATCCAACTGGATCCCGACGAATGGCGACTCGAGGATGTGCTTCATCTGGCGCGCATGAAGGTAGACGACCAGTGCCTCTGAGAGTTGCCGAAATCCATGCCTGCAATGCACAAAACACGGTGTTAGAGTGTGGTCAAGACGCTACGCAAACACCATACGAACTTACTCTGACTGGTAGGTGCCCGCGGCCTTCTTGGGGATGTTTGGCGTTTTGAGCTGGAAGAGCAAACTCAAGAGAAAAACATATATTGCAATGGGTGCATCCTCACAGCATATCCATAAAACAATGGCAAAGAGCCGCTTCAAGCGTGCAGTCATAGTCTCAGGCTCCTGGTAATCAGTAATACTTCTCTATGCCGCCCTCTTGGCCTCAAGCTGCAATTGATCCTCCTCTGCGCGCTCGTGTTTCTTACTCTGGGCGTGTTTCCTCATCGTCTGCTTTTGAATGTCGACGCCACCCTCACCGTACTTCCCGTACTGCCAGTGAGGAGGGGCGTTGGCCATGCAGATGCTGCACTTCATGCATGGCCTCCCATCCTTGCGCTGGTCGATGACAAGCCAGGGGAAAAGGCGAGTCCAGTTCTCTGCAGCCCGTGCCTTGAGAGTTTCGAGCAGAGCGTGTGGGTCCGGGACGAGGATGCTTCGGCTGGTTGGCTCTGCATTCGTGTTGGCCGTCGCAGTCGCTGCCGCTGTGTCTGACGCTTTAGGGCCACCATTAGATGACGGGCGGGACGCAGAGAGACAGGCGTGCGGAACTCAAGTGCGGGCGAATCGAATTGTACTCTGAGTGAAGCGTCCAGAGGTGTGCCTGGACGGGAGCGGCGCGGTTTCGCCTGCAGCTAGAGGCGGCGGAGATGGGGTGGAATGCGGTGGAGAGCGTGGAGTGACGGGTGGGCTATTATGCGGGAGGGATTCACCCGCATCCTCATCGAGGTCCCCGCCAGTTTCTAGTGGCGGGGACGTGCACCTGGGCGGAAGCGGCGGGAGTCCTCTGGCTACTCTACTCGGTGGTCCCCGTAAAAAATCTAAGCCAGTTACTGGCCTAGTTTCGTATGGGCCGTTTGAGTATGCCTCGTCATGAGTACCCGCGCTGTATGCAGTTGCGCCTGCATCCATGGCGAGATACAGGATGCAAGGCGGAAATGTACTTCGGTGAAACAAACCTACGAGCAGCTAGCACGGCGACTGGAAAATCAGACTACCGTGGGGCCTCCAATGGGGTTGATGGTGAGCTGTGGGAGGGAACGATGGAGAAGACGGACTCACCAGCGGCTCTGAATCTTCCGTTCCCGAGCCGCCTCTGCATTTCGTGAGGGATCAGCAAGGAATGTGCCTCCGACGTCGGAGGCAGCCAGCCGTGCATGGTCATACAATGAGGACCGTGCGGTGGGCAGATGGTTGCGTTGGTTTAAGCTGCTGTGCACGGCGCACCAATGAGAACGAGAGCTGCAGCTTGCTGTCGCTGAGTCCTCTCCACGAGGGCAGGATATGACTCAGCAGTGGCAGCGAAGATGCCATATTCCTGCCAGCACAGTGCCATCACGTGATGCATGGGCGGGTCATCTACGCAAGACTGGGGCTACACGAAATTTCTGGAGAAACTCTTAGTTACAGGGGGTGGGGGGGGGGGTGCCTGGACCACTGAAAGAGTCAATTTCATAAGGAATGCTTCGCTACCTCTGAAACGTCAGAAGAACCATAGTACACGTTTTGAAAATTCAGAAATATAATAAAACATTTTCTAACCCTTCAGAATCTTGAAAATGAAGTTTCTAAAAAATCAGAACAAAGCAAAAAATCGTGTTTGAAAATAAGACAAGCAGACGGGTTTTGTTTGCTAAGGAGGACCCTCCTCCCTAGAGATAGAGAGAGGATCGACAGGGTTATCCTAGAGCCACGAGTCACCCCCCCCCGCTGGGATAGCGAGTACACTAGGAATTGAATCATGGATGGCTCTGATACCATGTTAAACATAGATAGGTAGCTAGGTAGAGGAGCCATGGAAGTGGCGATAGGTTTTAGGCTAGAAGGAAAAATATCGAGAGAGAAGAGAAGATTGGAATAGAAGAGGAGATACAAGAAGGGGGGTAGTCCCCTCTATAATAATAGCACAAAATATATACTTAAGCACTTCTTGCAGGCAAGGAGCGGTGTTTTTGTGGAAGCGGTAATAGATAGAATGAACAAATGAACGCCTTGAGACAAAAACAGGCTGCAGCACATGCAATAGAGAACTTGTCATCTCATGGTACCGGTGGACGTCCAATCAATTTCCAATCAGAACCAGTAAATACGGCCACCATTCGGGCCCTACCACCCGCCCTTCCTGGGCTTGGACGTCTTGCAGGCAGGCAGGGGTGTCCCGCAGAGCTTGGGGTTGCCGGGGCGGAAGCAGGAGAGGGGCAGGTCGGAGAGGGGCTTGGGGACAGAGCCAGAGAGGGCGTTGCCAGCCAGCTGCACGTGCAAGGAGGGGGCTGCCGCCCGCAGCAGCGCAGGGATGGCTCCTGACAGCCCGTTCCACGACAGGTCCAGGGCTTGCAGGGCCTTCAGCGATGCAACGCCTGCAGGGATGCTGCCAATCATGCGGTTGCGCGCCGCTACCAACGACTGCAGTGCCGTGAAGCGCGAGAGGGACGCGGGGAGGGGGCCGGAGAGCTGGTTGCTGGAGATGTTGAGGGAGAGGAGGGAGGAGGTGCAGGGGGCACATGAGGAGAGGAGGGAGGAAACGGAGCCCGAGAAGGCGTTGGAGGAGAGGAGCAGAGTGGCGAGGCGCTGCTGGCCCTGGCACAAGGCAGGCAGGGAGCCCTTGAGCTTGTTGCGAGAGAGGTCCAGGTGGGTGAGCGCGGGGGCGAGTGCAAGAGAGGGGGGCAGCGAGCCCGAGAGAAGGTTGTTGGAGACGTCCAGGCGGTTTAGGGCTGGAAAGCTGGCAACCAGAGCAGTGGAGATGCTTCCGGTGAGTTTATTGGAGGAGAGGTCCAGGTGGGAGAGAGGGAGAAGGGACGGGCTCTGGTCGCTCTGCTGGGGTGGGGGTGGGATGGCGCCGGAGAGGTGGTTGTGGGAGAGGTCGAGCAGGGCGAGGCAGGGGGAGAAGACAGACCCAGAGATGTTCCCAGTCAGCGCATTGTGGCTCAGCCGAACCTCTGCACCGTGCGGCACCGTTTTGCATGCACCTGCCGCTGCTGCTGGAAGCGGGAAGTGCTGTTGGGAAACACTGCCGTTGAAGGCGTTGAAGGAGAGGTCCAGATAGGTGAGCCTCGTGAGGCGAGGCTCGACGCCCAAAGCTGGCAGGACTCCAGAGAAGGCGTTGTGAGAGATGTCCAGACTCTCCAGATGTTCGGCCGACCGAAAGGGCGAGGAGCTGATCTTGGTCAGCTGATTCCAGCTCGCGTTGAGGTGCTCCAACGCAGGCGGCACCTGGGGGACCCCCCGGTGAGCTGGTTGTGGGAGAAGTCGCACCTCCTGAGGCTACCATCTATATCAGGGATGGCGCCGGAGAGCTGGTTGTACGACAGGTCAAGTGTGGTCATTGAGTAGTAGTTGACGATTTGGGGTATGGTGCCGGAGAGCAGGTTGTGCGAGAGGTCGAGCTCTTCGCTCACCGTGTGTCGCAGCAGGGAGGCAGGGATGGGTCCCGAGATCTGGTTGTGCGCCAGGCGCAGCACGTACGCAAAGCTGTCGGGGAAGCTGACGAGGTCGTCCAGCGCGGCGCTGATGCGGTTGTGGGAGAGGTCCACGTGCCATGCTGTCCAGAGGGCGCTGCCAGGGCTGCACGTGAGGTGGTTGTGCGACGCGTTCAGATAGCTGAACTGTGATCCAATAGGGGCGAGCACGGCCGCATCTCCGGACAGCTGGTTGCTGCTGACGTCCAGCAAGGTGAGCAGAGGGAACACCCCCCCGAGACCCCACATGCGTGAACTGGAGCCGGAGGTGGCAGCAGCGAGGGCGGAGAGGTCTCCCTGCAGCGCGTTCCCCTGCAGCTGCAGGTCCCTGAGCATCCACAGCGCGCAAAGCTGCCCTGGCAGGCTGCCCTGCAGGCGGTTGTGGTCCAGAGCCAGGCGCGTGAGGGAAGTGAGAGCGCCGATGCTACTCCCAATCGACCCGGACAGCTGATCTCCCCCCACGTCCAATGACTCCAGCGAGGGCGACAGGGCCGCTGCACCGCTGCTGGGCAGCGCGTCGCCCGTGAGGTTGTTGCCGCGCAGGGTGAGTTCTCTCAGCTCGGGCAAAGTGTAGAGGGTGGGGGGGACGGCGCCGGACAGGAGGCGGTTGGAGCTCAAGTCGAGGGAGACGAGGTGGGAGAGGAGGGAGAGGGAGGCGGGGAGGGAGCTGGAGAGAGTGTGGTGGGAGATGCGCAGCGAGGTCAGCCGGGTTAGCTGCCCCAGCGCCGTCGATAGCGACCCGGTGGACTTGCGACCAGGCAAGCCCTGGAGGAAGAAGCGCACCGGGGGAGGGGGGGGCGGGGGGTCGTGTGCGCATATCTTTTCGCCGTACACATCCTCGCACTCTGGCGAGTCCGGCACGAAGGGGGCGTGCAGGGTGACGGTTTCGTCGCCCAGCAGGTGCAGGGTGTCCACGTGGCCGTCGGCCGTGCACCCCACGCCGTACCACGCACACGCGCTGCTGGTGCCCACGCCCCACCCGCTCAGCAGCGCCGCCCACGAGCTGTTTCCGCCATCCGCCAATGCCCCCCCGTCCACTCCCTCCGCTGCCTCCGCTGGCCCCCCCAGGAGCGCGTCTCGCACGGCCAGCAGCACAGCCGTCTCGGCAGCGGAGGCCTGCACGCCAGGCGACGGCGCGGGCAGGTACCCCGCGCCCACCGCGCGCGCAATGGCGGCGCTGTTGTTGCTCACGCGCAGATAGTCCCAGACGTCCGTCCCTTTCTCGAACCGCCTGTCTTCGAACTTGCGCCGACGCGCGTCGTACAGCGGCCCGGACAGCGCGTTAAACCGCACGTCCACACGGCGATCGAAGCTGAAGAACGCCTCGGGAATGCCGCCTGTAAAGTTATTGTATGACAGGTCCAAGGTCCCGGAAGGAAGCACCGAGAATGCGCTGAGGCTACCCGAGAGGCTGTTGCGGCTGAAGTTGAGCTCGATAACCTTGCCAAGGCCGCCCATGGCGGGCCGGCGCCCCGTCTGCGGGTCCACTGCGAGGAACAGGTCGGGCGGAACGCTCCCCCAGAGCCCCGCGTGCGGCGCGCTGAGCTCCTCCAGCTTCGCCGGCAGCACGCAGCCGTGCAGACTGCCCTTCCCCCCCTCGCCGCTGTCCCCCCCAAGGTGCGGGTTAAAGCCGAGCGCGAGGTCCCTGGCGGGCAGCAGCGCGTGGCACAAGGGCCCGGTGAGCGCGTTGCCGTCCAGCCGCACCACGTCCAGCACCGCCGGCAGCAGCGCGCCGAGCGCCTGGGGCACCGCGCCCGACAGGCGGTTCCCCCCCAGGTCGAGCATCTTCAGCCGCGTCATCTCCGCCAGCTCGGTGGGGAGGCCGCCGGACAGGCTGTTGTTGCGCAAGATGAGCGCAACCAGGCTCGCGGAGTACGCCCCCGCTCCCCCCGCCTCGGCCTGCCCGGGGAGCTCCCCCGTGAGGTTGTTGCTCTGCAGGTCCGCCCAGCGCAGCGCAGGCGCGCGGAAAAGCGTCCGCGGAAGCTCCCCCGAGAGCGCGTTCCCGGCGAGGTCAACGGTTTCGAGCGACGTGGAGTACGCGCCGGGGCCCTCGGGAAGGGAGCCCGACAGCCCGCCGCCATTCGCGCTCAGGTGCAGGTGGCGCAGCGCGGGCAGGCGGAAGAGGCCGGGCGGGATGCTACCGGAGAAGCTATTATCGCGCATGTCGAGTACCGTCAGCTTCTGGAGGCGCGTGACGGAATCCGGCAGCTCCCCGGCGAGGCACGAGTGGCGAAAGACGAGCGAGGAGAGCTCCGACAGATCCCCGATGGCGGGCGACAGCGCGCCGAGCGGGCAGCTCCCGCCCCTCCCCGGGCCCCCCGGCATGTCCTCGAGGCTAGGATCGGAGATAATGCTCGTGATGCGGCCGTCGGGCGTGCACTGGATCGGGCATGCTAGGTCGCAGCGCGGCGGCGGCGAGGACTCTGATGGGGGAGCCACGACGCCCGGGGGGCTGCTACCACTACCACTACCAGAAGCCTGGTCGATGCAGCAGTAGGAGACGTTGCGGTCGGCATCGAAAAAGCCCGGCTTAGACATGCCGTCGTGCCAGAAGAAGACCCCCTTGGGCAGCGCCGCGTACACGGCGCGCGTGGCGGCGAGGTCGCTGTCAGCTATGGCCGCCACGCAGCCGTCGGGGAACGGCGGGACGATGTCGGCGGCGCGAGACGCGCGGGGGAGCGCGATGAGGGCGAGGAAAGCGAGGAGGGAGAGGAGGAGGGCGGCGGGGAAGGAGCGGAAGGAGCGGAAGGAGAGGAGGGAGAAGAGGGAGCGAGAGAGTGGCGCCATGATGGCATGTGGTGGTGCGGCTGCCAGTGGGAGTAGGTTGGGGCAATGACTTCTGGGAAATGCGATGACAGTGCCACGGTCAGTTCTCTACTATTAGGGCGAGTACTTTTACAGCTTGAAAGGGCGCTTCTTCTTCCATTACTACTCGCGGCGGAATTGCGACGAGTAGTGGCACATCTGCTAGTATCAGTGCTGTGCGGGTTTGTACGTCTAGTTCTATGGGCAACGCTCGAAGGAGGTCGGAGTGGTAGTAAGGGTAATCGTTGTAGCGTTGGTGACTTAGCGACGTGCGTGGGAAAGGTTGGCTCTGCTGGCGGGAAACCAGGGGAGTTTAAAGTGGAGGAGGGCTCAGCGGAAGCGGATAGGCGGAAGGGTCGGGAACGGGCTGCGGGGCACAGCAATCCTACCTGAGGCAGGTGTCTGCTGTGGGCGCGAGCGGCCATGGCGGCTGCTGTCACGGCGCGCTTGCTGCGTAGATCAGAACAGCAAGGCGAAGGGTACAGACAGGGTACACGGTGCTGGCTGGTTTAGCGGGACGACGGAGAGGGAAAAGGCTTGAGACGGGAGACTAGCAGGTGTGAGAAACAGTGGAGGAGACTCAGTAAGAGAGGTGGGGAAAGGCGAGGCAAGACTCGAGAGGAAGTGGTGGGAAGGAATAGAAGAGCTTGCGCATGCATGAGCACGAGGGTGGGAGGGAGGGAATAGTGACGAGGGGGAATGGGGGAGGCTCAGGTAGAGGCGAGGGTAGCGAGAGAGGGAGGTGGTTTCTGCTGCTGCATTCAACGGAGCAGAGAAGCGAACTCACCGAGCCGCATGTTGCCTTCTAGGTATACACTTTTTCTCCTCTATTGATCTACCCGGAACAGTCTAGATAGCAATCTCACCTACCAGGTTCTCAGCATGACTCGCGTTGACACTGAACCTGATTGGCTGCAGTCTGAAAGATAGCGAACAGCCAAGCTGTATTTCGACAATTGCGAGGTTCAGAGCTGAGACGTCGCGCGAGCAATTAATCTAGTGCATGAGCGAGCTTTTGTAACCAGGTGTCACTAATTACTGTGGGATCTCCCCTTCAAGGTCCCGTTTGCCCGTGTTTTACAATTTCCTGCTTACAGCCTTGAGCCGCGTGCATAAAACCGTAAAACTAAAAAAGAAAGAAAGGTGTAGTATGAGAACCAGACTGCCTGGCCCAAGCGCGCCAAGCCGAGCCCCAAGCGAACAGCGAAAACTTGACGCTCATTCCAGGCGAAGAAGAAACGAACTCTGGCAGGCGAAAAAACGTGTGCTGTACTAAAAAGACGCTTGGCGACAACAGAAGATACATACAGTGTAAGGAATTAGGAATTCCTTACTGAGGCTTGCTACAAGGCGTACGACTCGAACAGTCCCGAACCATCGCCAGGGTTCCAGACCTATCAGTTCGAGCCTCCTTAGCCTTACCGGACCTCGCTACGACACATCGAGGCCCTTCGATACCTTTCCCGAACCTTCCTATCCTACGTCCAGGATCACTCTAGGTTTTCTATATATTGTATTGTCTTTCATTTTATTGTCACTCACTCATTCACAGTTTCGCCATTGCCCTCCGCGCTACTCGGCAGTCCCATTCATCACATACAGTTACAGCCTAAAAAAAAGTTACACCTATGACATGATGTTATGAATTATAACTCAGAGTATAGCGCAGAATACTACAGGGGAACGTGATTACAGAATGACGATAGAAATGAGGCATAGGGCTTGTTGGGCTGAGAAAAGCCCTTAGGATCTTTTGCCGAGACTAAGTCCCAGCTAGTAGAGACTTGAGACTTGGAGTAGTGCAGCGGAAGTTGAGGCAGTTGAACCCTTGTACTAGTATGTGAGAACAAGTGATTGATTAAAGAAACAAGCATACAGCAATATATAGAAGATAAGAAAGCAGTTGCAGAGTACAGTTACAGGAACGGTTTATCGAGTCGCATAGCGACTCGATTGCCGCTTCGGTTACCATCCGTGATGCTGTAACGGTCAGTCGCAACCTCCAGTTGCGACCTTTCGGGTCTTTTCGCATTCTTTGTCCGCCCCCTCGTGGAACCTCCGTTGACTCGCGTGCTCCCCTGTAGTCTTCCTCGAGTGTAGTGTTACACTTCAGAAACGCTTAAGTTCTTTGAGATATTTCCAACACTCCCCTTCGTTTCTGGAGTGCTGTCATGTTCGGGTCTGGTGACGTTTGTTTGCCCGGTCAGGAGCATGCAGTAGTCGAATTTTGCTTTCGCCAATTTCTTCGTCAGGTAGTCTGCGGCCATTTCTGTCGTCGGGCAGTAACTGAGTTGAAGTCTCCCCTTCGCGATTTCATCCTTGACGAAGAAGTACCGCAGGGCGATGTGCTTGGTTCGGTTGGCGAAGCCGTCCTTGTTTGCGATTTTGATCGCAGATTGGTTGTCGCAGAGGAGTGAGAAGGCGGGCAGGGTCGCAATCTTCGCTTCCTCGAGTAACTCTCGTAGATAGAGTCCTTCCTTGGTCGCAGTACAAAGGGCGATATACTCTGCTTCGGCCGAGGATAGTGCGATTAACTCCTGTTTGCTCGACTGCCAGGAGATAGTTCCGATAGGTTCTAGTCGGTAGATGTAGCCCGTCCTAGACCGTCGATTTTCGCTGTCTCCCGCGTGGTCGGCGTCGACGTATCCGAGTAGTCGTACGGACGGTGTTGTGGCCTTGCTGTAGGTGAGCCCGATCGTCGGCGTGGAGACGAAGTAGAGTAGCGCTCGATTGAGTTCCTCGAGATCTTCCTGTTTCGGCTGCTTCAGATGTGTCGCTAACTGACTCGCACTATAGGACAGGTCGGGTCGGCAGGTTACTGATGCGAATAGTAGGCAGCCGAGCTTCTGTTGATACTCCTGGATTTGTTTCGCGGGGAGTTTTGTAGAGGCGCTGCTGTTGTTCCCGTAGCGGTAGGGAGTTGGGACCGCAGTCGGTGTTAGACCGAATTTCTTCGCGACGGTGCTTGAGTACTTTCCAGCGTGTAGGTAGAACGCCGTGTCGTCTTCGACGACGTTCAGTCCTAGGTACTGCGTAACTTCGTCGGACATCGTGAGAGTTAAATCTTCTTTCAGCTCCCCTTCGAACCAGGTGGCGATGTCGGTAGTGGAGCCGATGTAGAGCAGGTCGTCGACGTAGACGATGAGCAGAACATACTCTCTTCCCTTCTGCAGTCGGTACATCCCTTGGTCATGCGGCAGCTGTAGGAAGCCGATTTTTACGAGACGGCTGTGAAGATGCTGCTGCCAGAGCCGCGGGGCTTGCTTGATCCCGTATAGGGATTTTGTCAGTCGGCATATTTTCGTGGGGTCGTCGATGAATCCGTGGGGTTGTTCGACGAAGATCTCAGCGTCCACAGGTGCGTATAGGAACGCATTCGCGACATCGATTTGGCGTAGTGGTAGTGTTTTTGTGGCCGCGACGGCGAGTAGGATGCGTAATGAGGTGTGACGGGAGACTGGGGCGAAGGTTTCTGTGTAGTCGGTTCCGTATCGTTGATCGAAGCCTCGTACGACCCATCGAGCTTTGAATCGTTCGATGGAGCCGTCTGAGTTGGTCTTGATGCGGTACACCCATTTCCCCAAGAGAACGTTCTTCCCGTTGATGCTCGTTGCAGGTACCAGTTTCCATGTTTCTCGGTCTTGCAGAGCTTTTAACTCCTTTTCCATCGCTTCTTTCCATTTTGCCTTATGTTCCCCCCCAGAGCCTGCGACAAGGTTGAAGGCTCACGCGTAGAAGGCGGCGGCGGATGCTGGACGGAGACCCAGAGGCCTAGAATCTGGAGTCCCGTGGGTGTGTGTCGAGGGGAATTGTCATTCCCGGAATAAGCTGCTTCGTCACCGTCTTCGGGGTCAGGTAAGAAATTGGGGCCGATGCGTTCCGAAATATTCGTGTCGACGGGGTGAGGTGTAGCGTAACCTTGGTCGGCGAAGTGGTAAAAGGTGTCGAGGTTGTTGCTATCGAGGGGATTATCTTCATCGAGTGGAACAGGTACGGAACAGAATGGGAGTGGCCCGGCAGCTTCCGAGGCTCCAGGTACGTCTTCTTCTGCTGCGTCAGCTTCGGCAGCACGATCGGCGAAGGAACGAAGTCCCGAGAGGCCGTCGGTGGGGTCTTGTGTGTTGGCAAGGTTGTCCAGGTAATGCTGCAGAGTCAGTCGTTCGTAGAAGATAACGTCTCGTGATGCCACCGTGTTTTTGTCTTGTATGTCGAGAATTTTCCACGCGTGAAAATGTTTCGCGATGCCGAGGTGGAGTCCCCACCGAGCTCGTTGTGTGAAGCGTCCTGCTCGGGCTGTATGGGGTCTGTACTGTACCATGCAGCCAAAGACTCTGAGTAATTTTGTGCTGCCCCTTTTTCTTGTCCACAACAGGTGCGGTGATGCGTTGTTGGGAAGTGATGACGAGGACAGCAGGTTGTGCAGGTGAACAGCATGTGTCATCGCGTCTGGCCACAGTGTGGTTGGCAGTCGCATCCCCTGAAGCAGTTTTCGCATCGTCGTCTGCAAGGTCCGATTCATGCGTTCTGCTACCCCCTGCTGTTGGTGAGCATAGGGCAGGGACACCAGGCGTCTGATTCCCCTTTCCGCCAGATAGGTCCTGAAGCGTTGTGACTGGTATTCCAGTGCACCGTCTGACTGGAAGCTCTTGAGTTTGAGTCCTGATTCTCGTTCGGCGATGGGGAGCCATGTTGTGAAGGCTTCGAAGGCTTGGTCGCGCGTTTTGAGATTGAAGTGCCAGACATATCTGGTTGCGGCGTCGATGAAAGTGATGACGTAGTTAAAGTCGGCTTCGGCGTCGTCTCGAGGCATGTTTAAAATATCGCTGTAGACTTTTTCCATCGGAGCGTAAGTAGGTGCGCTTGGGTTGTGATGGGATGTAAAAGGTTGATGAGGAAGATCTGCTTCGGGGCATGTGAAGCACCGTGCGCGTGGTCGTCGAAGTTCTTGACCGCTCGTCGTCAGAAGGGCGTTGCGTTCTAACACCTCTGCTTGGATTGTTTGAAGTATTGTGCTGTTTGCAGGGTGTCCGAGGCGTTGGTGCCAGATGTCGTCGGGAGCACGGTGACCGGGCGAGCGGTGGTAGATGTCGGCGTTGGAGAAGAACGCGACGACTGAGGCGGGACTTCGACAAGCTTCTCGTGTGGCGGGCATAAGTTGGTCTGCTTCCGTTGGCGGTCCTCGTGTTGATGGTGGTGGTACTCGGCTGGGTCCTGCTGCCGATACTGCAGGTGATGGTTTTGTTGGGACACTTGCGGGTACTTGTCTTTCTTGTCTGATAACTGCTAATGCTCGTGTTCTCTCTGCTGCAGGTATGGTGTTGGAGTGCCAGAAGCCGTCACTGTCGAAGTCGGGATCAAGATCCGGCGGGTGAGTCCAGGCGGCGAACGATACGATGCCATCGCTGTCGGCAGTTCCGCGGTCGGGGACGAAGTCCAACACGAAGACACCGGACTTCAGGAGGGCACGACCGATGAAGAGGCCGCCCTTCCCGTGGTAAAGCCGGAACTCGTTGGAGTAAGAGTCGCACTCCAGGTGAATCCCTTTGGCCATTAGTTGGCTTACGCTTAGTAGATTGTATCCCAGGTTGTCGACAATGAGCACTTT